AAAAAAAAAAATATTTATCACCGCTGGGTTTTATGATATTATTTCAACTCAATAACGAACTGTAGAGAAGCAAGAGAGAGAGATATTTGAATGACCAGCAAACAGGTGATACCTGAATCCTTAAGTGTGAATCAACAACATCTCAGGAAACAGCATCCTTGTTGGAAAACTGTGAATGGATGATCCAGCGATTTCTGTGGTTACCCAGAATCTGAAGCTCAACCTTCTCACTTCTTCACCAGAGTCTTTATGCTGTACCACAGTTGTCTGATTATAAATATTAAGCAACTAATAATTATTATCATTTTTTACCAGAAAATATAACTACCTCCAACTTGCTGTGATTATCAATTATCAAATCTTAAGGAACCATATACTGAAGGAGTAAAAGTGTTTGAAAAGATGATCTAGAAAAAAATTAAGATACTATTTTTGTATTAGCAAAGATTCATATGCTTTCGTTTGTTCCTAACAAAAGAATCATGATCTCTTCCCACTCATTAAATCGTCTGATTGCACACTCAGTCTTTTAAGTGTTCCCAAATGTCATGAAGTTTCAATTTGATTGTGTGACTGTGTGTGTGTGTGTGTGTGTGTGTGTGTGTATTATTTAGTGAAAGGTGGGTCTAATAAATTTAAGACAGCAAGGCTGCATTTTATATGACACATAACCTCAGTTATGTGAAATATTGTCATGGTTACCTGCAAAGCAGCAGGATGTATGTGGGTGAAAGACAAGGTTCAAAAAGCAAAAAAAAATGCTCTGTAGCAGAAGCCAAATATCATAGACAAAGAGAGGAAGATGTAGGAAGATAGGAAGGGTGAGCAGACCAATGTTTAGTTGTGTGTTTTTTTTAAAAAAAGGCATTGACTAAATAATTATTTTCTGTAGTCATGTTCTGATAATTATTAGTTTAAATGTCCGTATCTCAGAAATCACTTTCTTTATGAAAGTGACCCCCTCCAAATTGGAAGAAAGGTGAGAGTAAGAACATGTTAAGAAATTAAGAGAATTCTTTAAGAAAATGATAAATGTGTAGTCCCCTTCAGACATTTTGTGATTATTGAAACATTTAATAATCTAGTTTACAAACATTAATACATTTAGCTAGAATACAAAGCTTCTACTAAAAATAAAATTTCTTTTTATAGATATTAAAAGTCTTAATTATTGCTATGGCTTAAATTTGTCAAAATCCAGTTTAACTTGACTCCTTTATAACAATTTATTCATTGTTTCATTTTGTCTCTTTTCAGTAATTTGGTCAAAGAGCAATATTCTCTCATTATTTTTATAGTCGTGTACAAATAAAATGGAAAAAGAAATGACTAAAAGAACCAGTTTTCTTTTTTTAAATCTAGATAACATAACAATAAACTCAGTGACTACCTATTCAGCCCGTAACAATTACCAGTCCAAGTAGTGGAACAACAAAAACTAATAAAATGTGATCTCTGTGTTTGAGAATCCCACAAGAGTAAGAAAAGCGCCACATGTAAAACACAGACAAGCAAAAGGATGTAATGAGGCCCATGTTAGGCTTTGAACAAAGGGACTTGGGACTAGAGAAGAAAGAGCAATTAAGAAGAGATTAAGCTTGTCAACAAAGATTATTCACAACAAAATGGTGGCACACATTTATTTGTGCTAAATAAATAAAGCTTGTTTATTATTCATATAATGAATATGAGAATTGGTATTTAAAATAATCTTCTAAACATCCTACTCCAGTAAAAACAAAACTAGAAATATTATGCACTCAAAGGCAGCAACAACTTTTCATGAAAAGCATAGGTTCTTCCACTCTCGATTCCTATTTAACTTGCCCAGTTTTGTAAATAATCTCAGATAAATGTTTTATAATTGGAAATTATTTTATTTCTCTTCTTATAGGTTTAAATATATATATAGTATAAACATAGGTTAAATGAATCAATAAAATGAAAACAAGTTTGCCAAAATATACACAACTTCGTGACATAGTATAAGATTTATGAAAATGCTATTTCCATGACATTTAGTTAACATTTCCCCTAATAAGAATTTTAGTACTGCCATCTCTACAGTTTGAATTGACGCTAAAGATGTATAGGAATGAAATTGGTAAGAAAGGAGGTATGGCTTCCCTATTCCCAGGAGGAAACCTCAAACTGTGGAAGGACAGTTTTTCTCCAGGGCCCAATTATAACAGTCAGTTATGTTTTGTGCTGTATTCGTGCCTCCTTACAATTCTCCTCCATGCCCATGGAATAAAGCTTTCCACTTGTGAGCCCTGGCTGGGTGGCTCAGTTGATTAGAGCATCATCCCATGCATCAAAAGGTTGCAGGTTTGATTGCTGGTCAGGGCACATACCTCGGCTGGGAGTTCAATCCCGGCCTGGGGTGCAGACAGGAGGTCACTGATCGATATTTCTTTCTCACAGTGATGTTTCTTTCTCTCTCTCTTCCCTTTCCCCTCTCTCTAAAATCAACAACATATCCTTTATGAGTATTAAAAACAAAAAAGTAGAAATGTAGTAACATGTGTTCCAAATATTGCTTCACTCATCAACAGTACTTTATCTGAAAAGGGGATATGGGAACTACTGTGCTTCATTAGGTTTTCAAATAATGGCAAATTTACAGACATGTGCAAGAGTAGGCTGCTAACTCAGATTAGTCCAGGTCCTCAAAGTACTAGTAAGAACCAATGAACGTAAACAGTTCCAATTGATGGTGTGATTTTGTTCTTAAAAAAAAAAATACTGCAACTGTCTGTGTCCTTCTATTTCCCTAGAACTAAAACAAATCTTTCAAGAATAGGAATCTAAGATCTCATTTCCATCCTAATGACCAAAAATCCATACTATTGTTGTGGACATGCTGTGAACAAAAACAAATACACCATTGCAAACTGGATGCGCTCTGGATCTCATAATTGGAAAAGAGACTCAGGGAGCAATATGAACATTTGCAAAGGAGAGAATTTCTTCTTAGGAGCTTTTGGCAGGACTTCTCTTTAAAGTGAATTGAGCTGTCATTCTTTTTTCCTATAAGTAAAAACTTACTTTTATATATATATGTTATTGATTTCAGAGAGGAAGGGAGAGGGAGAGAGAGTTATAAACATCAATGATGAGAGTCACTGACTGCCTGCCTCCTGGGGATCAAGCTCACAACCCAGGTATGTGCCCTTGACCAGAATCAAACTGTGACCTCCAGGTTCATAGGTCAATGCTCAACCACCGAGTCATGCTGGAAGAGCTAAACCTTATTGTTTTAATGCCAGTTGCCTCTCCCTGACCCCACATAGAATACAATTTATAATAGAAAGAGGATTTTTTTGAAGGATGTTTTTTTTTCTCATTTAATAATACTGCCTTCAAATTCTTACTATATCTTTTCAGAATATGTAGTATAAATGCATTCTATGATTACCAGAAGAATATTTTAAAACTTATTAATATTTTATAATAGTATTGCAATCATAGTTTTAGAGCACAAGAAATTTAGAAGTCCCTACATCTGAACTACTCAATTTTATAGGCACTGCTTTTGAAGTTCACTGGCCAACATCTCCTGTGAGGGTCAGAAATGACACTAGAACCAAGATCTCCTGATGGACTTACATTTCTGATTAGAGGGGAAAAACTCTTGAATCAAGTATTTGGATATATATATATATGCAGCAGTAATCCTATATAATTAAAGGCTAATATGCAAATCAACTGAACGGTCACTATGATGCACACTGACCACCAGGAGGCAGACACTCAACACAGGAACTGCCCCCTGGTGGTCAGTGCGCTCCCAGGAGGAGCACCACTCAGCCAAAAGCCAGCTCAAAGCTGGTGAGTGCAGCAACAGTGGTGGGAGTGCTAAGGCTGTCCAGCTGCGAGAGGGCCAAGCTGAGGGACCCCCCCCGCCCCTGTCCCCACCCCAAGTGCATGAATCTTATGCACCAGGCTGCTAGTACATTAAT